TTTCGTTATAGTCTCTTAAATATTTATTTGGTAGATATCCTTCAGGAATCGGATCATAATAGTTTTTTTAGCGGAACAACAGGATCAAGACCAACAGCGACCCTTTCAGCATCATATCTATGTTCATACATATCGTCACAGAAAATTTAGAAAGTTAATTTAACTTCAAATTTAATAATTAAAGTTCATAAATAATAATTTTAATTGTTACCTTGCTAACATTTGCTTATGCGCCCAAATGAACAATTCTCCTTGACGATCCTTGGTGTATGCGAAATTCTTGTTGGGAAAATTGGCGTCCGCAATTCCATTAGGAACCTGCCATTTATAATTCAAATTAATTTTAATATAAGAATGCATTGAAAATGGATAATGTTATTAAAAATTTAAAACGTAAAACTTGATGATTACGAAGATAGCATGAGAATGTTGGTGACTTTCGTTGAGGGTAGGATCTTCACGCCACCAATCCTAATAAAAGTAATCATAATTAGGGAAAAGACTATACTGTATTATAAATGAATGTTAAAGAAGAAATAATAACTATTTTTGATTCCGGTCCGCCCAAAGGTAGAGATTGTCCAGGTAACAAATTAATTGGAGAAACTCTCTTCAAAGATGGTGTCTTGAGACCCCATGCAATAGCAGTGGGATGATTGTTTATAAAAATGGTGAATGCATCTTTAACCAAATTTGGATCATACGTTGTGACATCGTTAAGTTGCGCCTGTACTTTATCAGCTATTTTAAATAAAAGTTTAATTCTTTCATCATCATTTTTAGCACTAATAAGAATCAACTTAAACTCCGCATCGAGTTCTGTTACAAGTTGTTGTTGATTATTGTTAAACTATAAATAAATAAAAGGTGAGAATTGAATCGTAAGAAATTGAGATATTCTCTGTAAAACTTACAGGATTCCAACGTGGGGGAGGCTTCTGACCATCTTCAAGCCGTTTACGACCTTTAATTCTTTCATGATCTTTATTTGTGAGAATCGCATCGATGTAATTTTGAAGTAATTTAATTTTATCTTTATCCTCAGTAATCGCAACCATTGTTGAGTTGCTAGTCTTTAGATGAAGACATATTTATATACATAAATCCAATTACAAGTCAATTTCTCACGTAATTATTTATAAAATATATTCACAATGATATCCGTACATGGGTGCGGGAAATATATAAATCTAAATTTCTATATAGAGATTAGTGATGTAGAATGATTGTCATAACTTGCTGTAACTTGCCGTAACTATAGTTACGGCGTAACTTATTATCAATCGCAATAAAGTGCGGAAAATCTGGAATCTTCAATCTGCATACCGTATTTTCGCAAAATAACGCCCACCTGCGCGTTATTTTAAGTATATGCGCGTTATTTCGAGTACGCGCATGGGCGTTATTTTGAGATAAATATAAAATTTGTATCTTCTTATATAAAACAAAAAATGCTTCGAAACTAGGTTTGATATTAAGTAAACCTACATT